TTGAGGCCCAACCAACTCAAATTAATCGCCTAATAAAGCTCAAACGCATCAATCCTGCATTTTTTTCTCCTGCTTAGACTTTTTGAAAATAAGCTTTGATTTATATGAACAGCCAGATTATAAAATTATATATTTGCATGTGCACAGTCTCTAAGATTTCATGAATATATTATGACTTAGAGATGCAAAAAATTATGAATTGAAATGTGAAAAAAAAAAAGATTTTAATTCAGAAGTTTTTTAATTTATTGCTATATTAAAACAAAAAATCTAATCTCCTACTAGACGTAAAGGATGACTAAATTCATTATTATTTTTAATTCAGCGCGTGCAAATTTAATAGGACTTTAATATTTATTTTAAGGAAAAAATGAATAGTTTAATTTTGTTAGCCTAAATTAATATGTTGAACTTTATAGCAATCTTGTTTAAGGGAATATATTGTATTTGAATGATTTAGAATTATTTTGATGAGTGTTAAAATTTTAAAATAATACAAGTGATTATTTTTTTTTTTTCATTTTGGCTTGAAATAAAATGAATACAATTTACAATTCAAAGATGATGGTGGTCAGTAACCGGTGGTGGTGGAGGATGTCGGTGGTGGCAGCGGTCGACGGTCGAATAAAACAAGCAATGGCCAGCGTCGACAAGGTAGCTTGCTTACAGTGGAAAAAAAAAATCGATCAAAACCGACTGAGTTTACAATTCATAAAAAAAAATAAACCGACTGAACAAGAAATTCACCTAAAATTTACGCTATATTACTTTTCATTCAACCAAACACCAGTATTTTCAAAATCCCAATGTTTGAAATACCTTACACCGACTTCACTTCAAATCAAACAACCCTTAAGCGAATACAATGAGCTTTTCTAGAATTGCAAATCTATGTTCAATAATAAATCTAATCGTCCGGCCAAACACATCATGAGTATTTTTTTTTTCTTAATTTAATGTTGTGCATTTAATTATGTAAAAAGATTGTCGGTGGTCTCACAGAGGATACCACAAATATATTTTTTCTTAAAACTAGTTGCAACAACTTCTATCACTGGATTTTACAGGAGAAAACATTAATCGCAGTGTCCGAACGTAACTTTTCATCCGGACTCCAATCACATGAAGAAGCGATTTTTTCTTTTGTACACACTGCGTACAAAAAAAGAGGAAAAAATTCACATGTTTTCACGTGATTGGAGTCTAGATGACGTCCATACTCCAAGGGTGACCTTTCAAAATCTCTCAATGATCATACCATTTGGACCTATATCACATTTTTCTCTCCATCCTCTCTCTCTCTCTCATTGTTATTTTCTTTCTCTATCCATCCTCTCTCTCTCTCTCTTTCCCTCTCATTTTCTCTACCCTCTCTCTCTACACCCATCCCCCCATTATTTTTCTTTGATATATCAAAATATTGGGCGTCACCATAAATATATTAGAAATTAAATATGAAAATTTAGATTACTTACACACTTTCTTTATGACATAATATAAGTATACATATTTAATTTAATTTATGTTAAATTTATAGATTATAAATGTCATTTTAGATTATATAATGTAAAAATGTCAAATATATTTAATTATATCTAATTTAAATACGCATATATGTTAATATGATGAGTATATATATACATTATGTAATTATAAATTAACATATATAACACCTTAATTGGCATAATAAAACTTTTTAATAAGAAGACTCCGTCACAGAAAATTCTTTCTCAAATTTTAAATAAAATGCATTGAAATGGAAAAATATTATTTATAATTTTTTTATGATAATGTTCTTATAATTATACATCAATAACTTAAAATCTTTATCCCATTATATGGGATTGACTTTAGAAATTATTAAAAAAGCTTTCTCAAACAAAGCTATACATCAATAACTTAAAATCTTTATCCCACTATATGGGATTGACTTTAGAAATTATTAAAAAAACTGTATCAAACAAAGCCTAAATATGCCTCTATCATTCTTATAATTATAGCTTCACAAAAATAAATTTCATAAGAAAGGTAGAAGTAGATTTAGGGTTAGTTTGAGACGACTTTTTTTATTATTATTTAAATAAAATTTTAATAGAAAAATCCTTGCACTAAAATTATGTTTTAAGAAGCAATAAAAAAATCGTCCCAAACAAAGTTTGGTTTTATTCGATATATTTTTTTACTGATTTCTAAAACAGCTTTATAATTCAAAATTTCAATTTTTGTATTAAAAATTTACTTTAGAAATAATACTTCTTCTCCCTATGTTTACTCTTTCTCTTTATATATATATATATATATATATAAGCCAATTAAAACAAATTCACACTCATATCACATACATAAGCTTCTAACTCAAGATCTAATGATTGATAGTCAAAGCTCTCAACCAATAAACAAGAAAGAAGCATTTTCTGACCATCTATTATGTTAATAAAAAATTATTCTATTCAGACACAGGATGCACCGGGAGACCAACCAGATCGCGCCACATCATTTTTTTTGCTCGGTAGTAATGCTCGATACCGTTGTGTACCGAGTGACCTGAAATTTCCTGATTGATCTCCGAACCATCTGTTGTCTGCACAGAATAATTTCTCCATCAACCAAACATGAGCCTTCACCCTTCTTCCTAGGCAATTAAAAATATAAGTTTTACATTGGTAAAATAATACCAAATGTCCAGAAGGCATTTGCAGAGGGTTTACATCATTCTCCCATTCAGAAAACTCCAATTGGAGACCTATTATAGAAGGCAAATTACCATAAAAATTACAACTTGTTGCCTCTAATTGCGGGCAATAGGACATAGAAGATCTTAACAGAAGAAAACTTCAAGATATCTGAACAAGTATTCTCCTTCCAGTGCTAAAATTCAAACAATTCATTTTACTAAGAGTTTCAAATGAATTGAATGCTATTTTTTAAACTTACCCATTCCTTTACCATTCATATATGTACAAGCAAAGATATAAAAGCCATAAAATTCAGTCAAATGTTTTCGTCAATATGTAATTAAGAATAAGTTTGAAAATTATTAAATTCATTTTGAGAGAGTAAGGAATTGTTTGTGATAGTTTTCTTACTATTTATTGAAGCAATTTTTTATTACAAAAATTTTAATTTCTGTACTAAAAAGTTGATTTAAGAAGCAGTAAGAAAGTCGTCTCAAACGAAACCTAAATGACATTAATGGTCAATAAACTATTAAGATTACACTCATCTCAAAGCAAATATAATAATTTTAAAATTTAACATAAGCAAATTTTGATCAGAAAATCTTTAAAAACAAAGTCTCTCCAAATATAAAAAAAGATCAAAAGAATGTCTGTCATTCTCTATTTTTTATGATATAGACAAAGCTCCAAATATTCCAACGTCAAAAACATATGTGAAAGATCAACTCAAAATGTGGAAAAACAATTACATTACATTCAGAAAACATTTATGCTTTATTTGGGACAGCTTTTTTATTGTTTCTTAAAAACAGCTTTTTAGTTTTAAAATTAAAATTTTTATACTAAAAAGCTGCTTTAAAAAGCAGTAAGAAAGCCATCCCAAACGAAGCCTTAGTTTCGATGAGGCGATGGCTCTGAAAATTTAAGTGTTCCTCCAAGCTCAACAGGCACCAACGGTATCAGAGAGTGGAGAACATCAGTTATCAATGGCCTGTAACTTGCTTCTGGTTGAACACATAGCACGGCAACAGCAGCAACCTGCATAATTCCACAAAATTCTAGCCTTGAGAGAACGAAGAACTATCTATATCTATAATGGTAGGACGTAGGTGAGTAAATGAGTCTAAGTTGAGTCAAGCTTAAAAGTTTTGTTTGGGATGGCATTCTTACTACTTCTTAAAGTAATTTTTTAATACAAAAATTTTAATTTTTATGCTTAAAAGCTGCTTTAAGAAGCAGTAAAAAAACCGTCCCAAACGAAGCCCAAGTCATCCTTAGCTTGAGCTTCAATACTAAAACATATACATGAAAAGATGAGTTTCACTTTAGAAAAGTTAACATGAGTGCATTAGTGATAGTTTTTATATAATTTAAAATTTTAGTTGTTATACAAGTCAATGCCAAAGCTTAATTGTTAAATACATAAACACATAAAAATTCTGCGATATCTATATAAATACCCTAAATAATTTTTAAACGATTTAGCTCCCTAACTGACTAGTTGAGTTGAGCTTGGCTCAAGCTTAGCTTGTTAGCTTTTTAAACTCAGCTCACGAGCTGGTTATCAAGGCGAGCAGGAGTTTTAGCCGGCTCATAAATCAGCTTCACTCAATCCCACCCACCCCTAACAGTAAGAACTAAAAAATACAAAAAGAACAAGAATAGATTTACTTGATATAGATGTTTCAAGTCCATTGTATCTCGGATCATGGGATCAACTATGCTTGGAAGCTTTGATCGGTCAGTTAGCTGAGGCATGGCCTGCAAAAAGATGAATTATCTCATTATCACAAGGAAAGATTCAAAGAAATTAATGAAAATTTTTCCTAAGCAAAAGCTAAGTTGAAACTTGAAATGAACAGATTGATACCCAAGTGACAATAGATTGATTTTGAGAGGGCGACATTTTTTCCACAGGCTTCCTTCCCAACAAAAGCTCCAGAAGAACAACTCCAAATGCATAGACATCACTTTTCTCAGTAAGCTTTCCTGAAAAAAAAGGGCTTTTTTCAACTCTTAGATGAATAAAAAACCTTTCTTTTCAAATTTATGATTGTAGTTTCAGTTTATATGGGAGCAAAAAAGGAAAGACAAACCATCTACAACATACTCCGGAGCTACATAACCTAATGTGCCTGAAAGTTTGACACTGGCTTTGTTTTGGTTGCAGTCACTAATTGCAAGTCCAAAATCTGAAATCTGTAGTATTCAGCAAAAATTAGAAGAAGATTTCAACATTTAGTTTAGTGAATTTGAAGGAAAAGATTTGTCAATATAAAAAAGAAAGTACCTTGGCATTGAACTCAGCATCTAGAAGAATGTTAGAGGATTTCAAATCTCTGTGAATCACAGGAGGGTTGCAAGTCTCATGCAGATATTCAAGTCCTCTGCTTGACATCATAAGTAAGAGAGTAAGTAGATTGAACATACTATAAATAATGAAAAAAAAAAGTATTTACAAGGTTGGTCAACCTTGCTGTATCAAGTGCAATTTTCATCCTCAAATGCCAAGTTAAAGATGACCCATGAGATGATCCTGAAAACCAAAAAAAAAAAAAAGATGAAAATAATCAAATAGTTCAAGTTTAGGGGCTGTTTGATAGCAGGATTTAGGCCGGATTTGAGGCGAATTTGAGCGAAATCCAGCCAAACGGCCTAAAATGCAAAACCAAATCTCACGGCAAATGAAAGCCGCCGTAGACGGAAAATTCCTCCTTTTCATGCTAAATCCCGGATTTCATAAATCCTGCTTTTTGCTGGATTTACGAAATCCTCTGGCTCTATTGGCGCGGGAAAGAAGAAACTCTACTCAAAATTTTCAACCTCCTTAAATCCTGAGTAGAATAGCCAAACAGTCACATAGGATTTAACAGAATTTATCATGAATGTTATCAAACAGTTTTCAGGATTTAAACCCCGCAGGATTTCGTAAATCAGGATTTAGAGGATTTATGAAATCATGCTTAAATGAAATCCAATGTGCTACCAAACAGCCCCTTAACTTTCCTCCCCCAATTTCATCATTATTATAAAAAGAGAACAATACCGTGAAAAAAAAAAAGAACAATACCGTGCAACAGTGATTCCAATGAGCCATTTGGCAAGAATTCATAGACAAAAAATCTAGACTCCCCATGAATGCAATAACCCAAAAGAGAGACAATATTTGGGTGTCTGATTCTTCCAAAAAAATTCAACTCATTCTGAATTGAAAAAAAAAAAAAAGTTAATTGTTCAAAAGTTAGAAAGGCCAACAAACACAAAAATTGGTAAGCAGTAGATCAGCAATTGAAGAAATTTACATCAAACATTCTCTCATATTCCATCCCACCACCATCTAATTTCTTCACAGCAGCAACACTGCCTTCGTTGAAGCTAGCTTTGTATACACAGCCAAATCCCCCCTCGCCCAAGATATTATCCTCGCTGAAATGATTTGTGGCAGAGTCCAGCAATGAATAATCAATCATTTCAACAACTTCCTTTTTGTGCACAATCTTCAATGAGCTCAACTTGCTAAAAACTGGAGTTAAGGAAAGCCCTTTAAGGGTAGAATCTGACAGATGCCCTTACAGATTAGTATGACAAACAGTTAAAATGAGCTTCTTTCAAATTCAAAACACAGAAAGATAACCTTTGTGATGCTTTCGGCACGAGATCCAAGCAATAATGGCAGATAGAGCTATTGCAATAACAGCAAGCGCGGACAAGGAGACGAAAATGATGAGATCTTTATCAAAATGGTTATGCTGGACCTCCGTAACCGTCTGACTATCTGCAAACAGAAAAACTGGAGAAGCTAAAATTTTGGAAGGGAAGCCCATCAAAGATGCAACCTTTGAAGGGATCCGGTGAGTACCTGTGGGAGATGGCGCCATAAGCACGGGAGGGGAAGAACTTGCTTGCAATTGCCGAGGAAGGACTCTGCAATTGTTGAGAGATGGGAAGAGAAAGAAGAGGAGGAAAGCGACGTGTGTAGGACTTATCTGTCTCTTCCTTTCCATTAGAGACAAAGCAACTCTCTCGAAATGTTGGAAGGAAGCCAAAGTAAGAGGGAAGGAGAAAACAATCGAAGCATTCTCTTCCTTCTCTCTATTTTTGAAACATCTTTCTCTTTCTGTTTGAATTCTCTCCGCTCGGGGCTTTTGGTTTATCCGGCTGCTTTATTTAATAAAGAAGAGGAACAGTTGCACGGAGAGCAGGAGAGAGCCTTTAAAGTTCAAACTCTTAAGATAAAAGAAACAATCATTTCATGGGGTCAGTTACAAAAAGCAAGCTGAGATGAGCAGAGGAGAAAGGTCAATGATTCATGACAGTGGTTAACAAAATTAAAATTTTAGAAATACAGAGAAGAAAGATAAGAAGCTTTGAAGCCGCGGGGGTGGGGGGGCGCTCCCCATTAAATCAATTTTTTTTTAATGGGAGCAATGAAAAGAGAACGTTAAATTTGTTTGGATTGAAATCAGCCATTGTTTGCCAATAAATTATGATACAAATTGGATCTATCTGTAGGTTGGTTCCAATTAAATGGACCAATTAAGTTTATTATTTTTTCTTTATATTTATTTTTAGCAGAGAACTGTTTTAATTTAAGAAAAGAACAAAGTTACAAACATGAAAAATGTTAAAAATATATATTTTTAAAATGGAAGTATCAAACCAAATTCAGATGAGAATTTTCAGCATTATTCTTTGGAGTTGCCGCCCTAGATGTAAGGTATAGTACCGTTGGATTCAAAATTATTAATGGATGATGCAACCTTACTATCAAACTGACCTCGTGACTGGTGAGCTTGGACTTGTGAGAATGAAACGTAAAGATAATAGAAGAAAATCTATAGAATGCTAATGAAACTATGAGTATCAAAATTGACAAAATATCCACTATCATTTCAAAAAATATCCACTATCATTGTCATGTATGCACTGGGTTGAGCTTCGAAGTGTGGTCGAGCTTGGTAGTGTCAAGTAGGAGTGGATGAACCTATGAACGAGTTCTAAGGAGTTGTTGCTTGGATGCTCTTGAAGCTGTCAGAGGCTTGTGCTGAGCCTTAGAATGCCTAAGGGAGAAGGCAAATGATTAGTGAATGTAGACAAGATGAGCTTAGTGATCAGCCAACCAAGGTGGGGTTAGCTGAGAAATAATTGAATTAACACTTTTCCTATAGTTGAGTTTGGGGAAGATGGTCGCTCTAAGAGAGTGAGTGACTAAAGTGACATCTAGGCGTGTTGAGGTGTTTTGTCTTATGAGGAATTTTCAGTTTGCCATGAAGAGGGAGAACTCATTGGTGAGCCCCGACGACTAGAGCTATTGATCACTTTGGGCGATTTACTTGTGAGCTCTATCAGTGGACCCCTCTTCATGTCGAGTTACTCTCTACAACCTGCTAGCTACCTATTATACACCTTTGAAGGCATACTCGAGTTTACAAATATAATCCAAATCAATGATATGCACAATCTATTATTTGAATTTAGGCTGTTAGTTACAATCAAATAAAGGCATGCGAACAAATCCTCATCAGTGAGAGATGGTTAAAACCCTACTATCTAAGATTCACTTAGTTCAATAAGGTTAGGCAAGTCAAATGTGATTTTAGCCAAGTCAAGCACTCTTATTTGGAGTTTTACTTCATGGGGCAAGTTGGTCATCAAATCTAAGAGGTCTTAATATGGGACCCAATAAGATAATCCAACTTAATTATATATAAAATTTTCTTACTTCAAATCAACTTATATAGGATTCATATGTAATACCCCGTATTTTAACCCAGATAAATAATTTTTTTCAGGAGACATTATAAATTCAAAAAATAAATCATATTCGTCATAACATAGATATTATAATAATTTAATTACACTAATTTTTTTCATAATTTTTTGGCACTTGTGTAAATATTTAAGAAATTGACATATGTTGGGACAAGTGAGATTTTGGGACCCTTATGTATTAATTTTACAAACTAATTTTAACAGAATTTTTAAAATAAAATGTATTATTTTATAATTTTTTTGGCACCAAAAAGATTTATATGAATTTCATACTGAAAACTAATTAAAATAAATAATTAAATTAATATTATATTATTGTTTTACTATAAATATCATAAAGCACTAACACAATCCATTATAAGACTTTTTCACTACAGAAGAATTGTCCATTATCGACGTACTTTCCGACGGACATACTTGCGCCGAAAATAGCGGCGAAAGAAAGGTGGAAAATATGCCGATAATGTTATGGCAAAAATTATGGTGTAATTCGTGCAAGATTTTTCATATTTTATGACAAATTTTTCTGTCTAAAAAAGGTGATTTTCCTGTAGTGTAAGCCAACAAATATCGACTACTGATTATTAATTATTGAAAAAAATTGCGATGGTCGAAATTTCTTATTAGTTTAGTGTGACTATTAAAATGCATGTTATGAATTCATTATTACTGTATGCATTTACTGATATTGTATTGATTTACTTTCACTGTAGGAATTTGCTATTATTATTTTATTTTACTACTATGACCACTGAATTTAATGGTGTTGATATAGATATTGATACTATTACTAAATTGTTATTGATATTACTACTATTTTATCATTATTGTTACTAATACTGAGCATGTAACATATTGAACACGTGATATATTGAACATATGATTAGTATATTAATTTAATACTGATATAAAATAATTAGATATCATGTGTGTGTCATTATAGGGTTTTATCATATTCATATGATTCCGAAAATCTTTATCATGATTTGGTTTTAACGCATGATATGATTTTTTTAATTGATTGATAATAATGATGTGATGACTATTTTATAGATTCGACACTTCTACTTATTTATTGATTTCTCCGCCGCATTGTTTTACTTTGCTTCCGTACTGTATTATTTTATTATTTACAAAATCTACTACTTTTGCATATAAGCTTTACTATTTTTACACATATTCATGATCATATAAATATTATTGCTATGATTTGAATCATTGAATGTTGATGTGCATATTGCTCTTTTGATGTATTTTGAATTTAGTAGAAGGATTTGATTTCTTGTGTAACAGCCCAAACTCTTAACTGTCGAGATATTATTAGATTTGATTTAAGAGTCTCACAATTTTATCCTGATGGTGTAACTTCCTATGAGGTCACCCATCCTTGAATTTCTTTATAATGAGCATGTTTAACTATGGAATTTTTTAATAAAATTATAGTCATTACACCAAAAGGCACCTCGATATTTAAGTGCTTAGCTTTTTTTACTTAAGGGGTTTTACAATCCCCTCCACTTAGGCAACTGACATTCTCGTCAGCATCTTTATCTCATAATCATCCACCATGCATATATGATTCTAGAGGTAACCCCTACAAGTTCAAGTGCTGACTATCACTATACACGTTGTACTTTATCCCATACATGGTTTAAGAGGTGTCTCTCATGGCGTAGCATTTTATCTTGTATGAAACTTAGTTCTTATATTACAATTGGTGTATTGCTTTGACATTATTTATAATAGCCCAAATTCTTAACTATCGAGATATTATCCACTTTAACCTAATGGTCTCACGATTTTGTCCTGTCGATGTAACTTCCTAGGAAGTAACCCATCCCATGATTTCTTTGGGCTGAGCACTCTTACTAAGAATTTTCTTAATGAAATATCAACGATTACACCAAAAGGTCCATCGATGTTTAAGAGTTTAACTTCTTTTTATTTAAAGGGGTTTATATTTTGCTAGCTCTTGAGCTCATTATGTGGTTTAAATTATTCCATGTCAGGGAAGAAGTTCATAAGTGTGAGATTGATCATAATTTCTCATGCTATTTTTTGTTATTTTAATTATTCTTTTAAACTTAAGAATGGAAGGCTGTGTTGTGATTGTATGATTTTTGAGTATTCATAAATGATGTATTTTTGGGTCAATGAATACATGTGTATTGATATTTTGAATCATATAACTTATTGCCGTTGTTTATTAATCATAAATGAAATTAGATAGTTTTGATTTTTCTATAATAAAATATAAAATAAAGAATTTTTGCAAATTAGATCCTAGGGCATGATATCAAGTTTGATCCAAATTAGTCTTTATATAACTCAGCATGACTTTTCATTCATCAATTCCACTAAAAGGCCTCCAATAAACATCATAGGCCTTGCTATCGATGATAGGCCTCGACCTTGTCAGTGATGGTGGGCATTAACGTTAGTGTCAATAGCGGTCATCGGCTTTGTTGGCGATAGTGAAAACCTATGGAAATTGATGATATATATCTAGAGTTAGAAAGCCAAGATTTTAATTATTTCTTCTAGAATCCATATTAGAGGTATATTTCTATCCCTAGTCTATTTAAATACGTATAATTATATAAGCAATGTCTACTTATAAATTTAATAGAGTACTAAGGTCATTAGACCCCTTAATCATATAATTTTTTTATAAATATATTTTTGTTTGTTAAAAATAACATTCATGCAGAGTTTTGTAGCTAACCGAACATATAAGCAAACAGCCAGAAAGAAAGTCTAAAGACAACATGAAACAATAACACAAAGAAATCATTATCTTAAGACTCTAATTTTCACAAAAAATAGGACAGCGACTCATTAAAAAATAAAAAAATAAAAATAAAAAAGAATTGTACAAAGCCGTTAGGAATGGTTTAATAAATATACAAATTAATTTAAAATCCAATTAAAAAGGAGCTGGTTATCTATGTACTTATATTATTAAGTATAAAAATAATTAGTTAGAAATTAAAGCATAAATAAAAAATTATCAAACTAATATAAAATTACAGCTATAATATTAAATTAGCACCAATTAATTAAGAAGGAGCAGCTATAATGTTTTTCTATTAAGATAGTGGATCATCATAAACTCAAATAAAATACTAAAATAAAAATTAAAATATGATTCCTCAATCATAACCATTATTTTTATTGAATAATAATATATTACATATATAATTATAAATAATTAAGACTATAATATTTTTTTTTCTATTAATTATGTTCAATGAATATGGTGGGCTAAATGAAAAAGACAGTAACAACCTAACCAAATTAAACAAACATGCAAAACAATTTGTAGCCTCATCTGCTTGGTCATCCAAAAAAAACTATAAGCTTATTTCTGAAAGGCGAGAGCAGCTTCAAGCTTATTTCTCCTAACTCACCATATGTTGTTATAAGTAAAAGTGTAGATTTTTTTTTTATATATAAATATGCTTACATTCAAAATTTGTTCTGAGGGCATTGCCTCTAGACCCCTATTTGTTCATCGTTGTACGCTTCGCAAATATGTCGGTGGTCCAAGGGGCAGCGCCCCCATAGCAGGGTTTGACCTTTGTATTTGGTTCATCGTTCCCTAACAATAACATCTTTACACAATGTGTTTATTTTTGTTGTGGCAATTACCTAAAGGCCATAGTATTTTAAAACTTCTAGGGGGACAATTGCTTAAAAACCTTTGTAATAAAGATTAAAAAATACATGGAGGATGACAAATTATCTAAATAATCATATAATAAAGATTTTTGAAGCGCTATGTTTAGCAACTCGCTCTTTCCAATGGCCGGTCGCTGGCCTATCTAGCAGCTGGACGCCAACTGATTAACTGAACAATCAATCGCGATGGTCAATGGTGACCAACAACGGTGTCTGATGATGGCGATGACAATTGTCAATGGTGGTTGATGGTTCTTAGTGCTCAACTGCCAAAGTAGCGTATGGTGGCTAGTTGCTAATAGAGAATTTACAATTTACTTCAAAATCGATAAAATCTAACAATTTTTAAATACATCAAAATTGAACAAGATGGTGCATTCCAAATACTTCAAAATTTTACTATGCATTCCTTATTTCAAATCAAACCACAATATTTTCTAAACCCTTGCATTTAGAATACTTTTCGGCCATTTTACCTCAAAACAAATAATAGCCATGTGTTTAAGCTTTGCTACGTTTATGATAAATGATTTGGTTTGATATTAGTTAACATTTAGTATTAATTGAATGATTGCAACTGTCATCATAACTAAAAAATATCTTCGAGACAATTGTTTCAAACTTTTAATCAATATCTTCTTTCCAAGCAAAAAGTGCAAAGTGCTTTCTTATATAAAAGAATTGCGTTAAGTAGGGCTGTCAAAATTGGGTTACGGGTTGGATTTGGGTCCAACTCGGAACTGACTCGACATTGTTTGACCTGACCCAAACCAGACCAATTTTTGCAAACCGGTCAGTTTTTCGAACCCGAACCTAACCCGTTTTAGGTATGTTTTACTAAAATTTTTTTATTTAATTCGATTTATTTAAACCTAAATTAAATTAATGTATGATTTACTTCAATCAATTTAAAATAAATTAAGTTTAATTTAGTTTGGGCAGCATGGTTTATTATTTTTTTGAAAATATCATATACTTATTTCATAACCATATTTTAAAACCTTCCTAAATTAATTAAAACCAAATTAAACCGGTTTGATTTCAGATTTTTGGATCAACCTGAACTCAACCCAGTTTTATAAACAAGTCGAAATCTCTAACCCGAATCCAGAATTTTTGGGTCGAGTTCAAGTCGGATTTTCGGATCGTGTCAAATATTAAAACCCCTAGCGCCAAGCTCCTGTTCATGATGTTTGGAAAAAAAAAAAAAACGCTTTAATTAATCCAATATGATTTAATGAATGTAATTGTTGACCAAAATATATTATTACAAAAGATGCAACATATTATTTATTTTGTTATCGTTGTAGTGAAGGATTTAACAAAATTGTAAAAAGAATGATATATTTCGAGTTCATGCCAATTAAATGATTTTATGAATCAAAAGCTCAATCATAAATTCAATGAGATAAATACTTAGCTAATTTTATGCGTGATATGCTCGATCCATGTAATTCATTTTAAGCTTTCAATAAAGAATGATTTATATGCCTCGTCAAATTTTAGAGTTTGAAAGCAATTTTTTTAAAGTAGTTGTAGAAAACAACTTCATAGCACACAAATTATTGAAAATAATGATCAAATAAAAATTATGATTGTGATTTAAAAGCATAATAGTAAGAAATCTTTCTCAAATAAAGTCTATGGGCTTCGGTTGAGATAGCTTTCTTACTGCTTCTTAAAACAGCTTTCTAATACAACAAATAAAATTTTGAAGCCTATGACTAAATTTTGTGCATGCAAAAAAATTTGTAAATTTTTACACTTTCGTTGATGACCTGAATTCGACAAAAATCTTCAATAGGTTATGTGCATGCTGCTTCAGTTGACAGGTTATGTTTGAGTCTTAGCAATGACCCGAAAAAACCTGTTTTTTCAACGAATCATGCGGGTCGACCTGAATCCTAAGCGGTTTGTCAGAGCTGTTAAACAAAGAACGAATTGGGCCACTTATATAACTTTAGGCGGACCGGCTCTGCAGTTCGAGCTATTAGCTTTTCTGCTTAAATCTTGCTGTCATCGCGAATATACCAAAACCCTAGCGGCTTCTTTACTGCGGTGACAATGGCTAAGAAGAGGAAGCATGAGGAGGCCTCAGAGGAGGGTCGGAAGAAAGATGAGGTCGCACCAGAAAGGCCAAAAAGGACTCTTACAGCGTGGAAAAGCGAACAATTGGAGAAGCAGAACGATGCTCCTGTTTTCAGGAACAAGGAGAAGGTTTTGATAACTTGCTCTCGTCGAATCATATCTAGGTGATTTCTGGTGTCATTATTTCTTAAAATATTATCTCTTTTTTTATTTTTTTAATTCCTTGTTGTGGATGTGAGAAGATATCGGCATTTGATGCTAAATATGGTGGCACTGCTGCCACACTCTAAGAAGGATAACAAGGTAGAGTCAGAGGATAGCAAGGGAGCTACACTTAATGAATTGGTCGAGTTCAGGAACTGCACGTATTGCCTGTTCTTTGAGGTATTTTTTCTGCATCTTAATTTTGAGTTTTCATTGGTTTGAAGATTATGTTTCATGAAGGTTAGAAAAATTCGCACTTTCGAATATTTTCATGAAGCGTAGGCATGCCTATTTAGTAGTATGCGAGCTTTGCTCTTGGTTTAATTGGTTGAAGTCCTAAACATAAAAAATATTTGTTCATTAAAGGTGTATTTGCTTGAAGTAATTAAAGGGAACGCAGATGCATTTCACTACAAAATTTCATAATGGATGTTTTTGGTTCCAATGTAATAAATAGATAATTGAATTTATTTAGAAAATATGGACAATTACATACTTTTTTTTGTCAAGTACTCCCCATTGTTTAAAATTGGGCAATATGAGGCTCGCCTTGCGGCCTGCCTCACCACAATTCCAGTGAAAAATGCCTCGAGGCTTATGCCTCAAACTTTTTTTATGAGGCTTGTGCCTCAGCTTGGCTGAGACTCGCCTTGAGGCACACCTCGCCTTACGCCTCACTGATTTATATATATTTTTATTAAAACTTACATAAATTCTAAACTAAAGCCCGAACAAATCATCCGTTCACTCAAGCCACAACAACTTCCTCTCAACCGCCTTGATCTCCAGCCCATTGCCTTTACCGTAGCCACTACCATCGTATCCCCCACCGGGAATCACTTGAAAGTCGCACACCACCACTACCATATCCTCTAAAAATTTTGGAGTATTATTCTCATATTTATGTTGATGAAAAATATTTATGAAAGAAAATAATGATTGAAATAAATGAAGAAGAAATAGATTGAGAGACATTGAACTCCACAAGATAAGGCAGGACAGAGACTAATTTGTTATGACGATGACTAAAATAAAGACCCCTTCGGTGATGATAGTGCAAATGATTTCTAAGTTGTCAATTTTGTTAGTTTTTTTCATAATTAAATGTGGATGAGTAGGGAACTGAGAAAGAAGGAATTTGAAGTTGAACTTGATGTTAAATGATACTTTATGTAATTCTTATATTTCATGTTGTTTTGCTCTTGTAATATTTGTATTTCAGTTCTATTTCACGCAATTTATCACTTACCACTTTACATATTTTGCAATTTTTTATTTCATGTGTATGTCAATTTATTACTTCATAGTTCGATAGAAAGTTAATATTTCATTATTTAACATATTATTTGGGTGTTATATAAAAAATTACTTTTAATTTTTATTATCACTTTACGCAATTTTTGGATTTTGAAGCTTTCGCCACAAAATGCCTTGTGGCTTATGCCTCGCCTCACAAAAGAAAAAATGCCTCAATACTCAATTGCGCAATTTTAAACCTTGGTACTCCCCTAAATCTAGTGAAAAATGAGAGAAAAAATCTTGTTGGATTATTGCTATCACTCGCATATTTCCTCACATCAAACAAAAAACTCAATTTCTCATCAACCAAATAATAAATGAAAAATATTTCTTTTACTCATTTTCTCTTCAACCAAAATAAGTGAGCGAAGACTAATTCCCTTTTACTCTGTCCATTTCCCCTTTATCCCCTTTATTTCCTCTCTTTCATTTCCTTCAAGCTATATGAAGCATAAAAAGAAAAAAATGTTTGCATTGGTGAATAGGAAATTTGGGGAAGATGCAATATAGTTGTTTTTTCCTTCTATACTAGACAGAGGAAGGTTTAATACCATTCTTGTTTGTGCTTTATGTACTTAGGGTTGAGGATACAATTTGCAGTCCATGAATTTAGTTTTATGGTAGTTAAATAGAATAAGAAGATGCAACCTTTTTAACCAGTAGGTGTAATTCTCAACTGATCTTCTTCATTTATACACAGTGCAGAAAGCAGAAAGATCTTTACCTTTGGATGGCTAGGTCGCCGGATGGCCCTTCTGTGAAATTTTTGGTAAATGCTGGTAAGTACTGATTCAAATGACATATTTTATGGAATCTTCTATCTAAATTGCTTGTCTAATGCAAACATGGGTGTTAATGATGTGAGCTGAACCAATTATTTCGCCACTCAAGTTTAGTAATGTGTTCTTTTCTTATCAAGCTTGTGTTGATATCAAACTGAAGGTATAATTTCTTGTTTCCAAATTAAAATTAAGCTTTGTTGAGATTGGGTAAATATGGTTTGAAGAAGATTAATAATTATACGACCTTATCATCTAACCTAAATTTATGCATTCTTGTTCATATTGTAATCAGATGTTTTTTTTTCTCTTTTGATATTTCAAAATCTAACATCAATGAAAGAGAAATAATTGAACCTGATTGATCTAACTTACAAATTGATTAGAATAAGCTTCCATTATTCCTTCTGGTTTTAATATGCATCATAGATATGCGAAGGATCAAAGCTAGCCTTGTGCAAGAACATGAATTAAGTGATTAAAAAACTAATCTTAAAAAAAAAAAAACTGTTAAGGATGCCCCCAAAACTGAACTAACATAATATTGTAACTTGGTCGAGCTTTTTTGTCATTCATTAATTGCATTGATTTGCTTGGCTTGCACCCCTAGATATAAGCAAATATCTTCAATGGTGTATTATCATTGTGTATTGATGTAAGATGACTCAGGGATAAGTTTCCTATTGAATGTGGTGGCACTGCTGCCACACTCTAAGAAGGATAACAAGGTAGAGTCAGAGGATAGCAAGGGAGCTACACTTAATGAATTGGTCGAGTTCAGGAACTGCACGTATTGCCTGTTCTTTGAGGTATTTTTCTGCATCTTAATTTTGAGTTTTCGTTGGTTTGAAGATTATGTTTCATGAAGGTTAGAAAAATTTGCACTTTCGAATATTTTCATGAAGCCTAGGCATGCCTATTTAGTAGTATGCGAGCTTTGCTCTTGGTTTAATTGGTAGAAGTCCTAAACATAAAAAAATATTTGTTCATTAAAGGTGTATTTGCTTGAAGTAATTAAAGGGAACGCAGATACATTTAACTACACAATTTCATAATGGATGTTTTTGGTTCTAATGTAATAAATAGATAATTGAATTTATTTAGAAAATATGGACAATTGCATACTTTTTATTGTCCGATTGTTTACAATTGTGAAATATAAGGCTTGCCTTGCGGCCCACCACAGCGCAATTCTTGTGAAAAACTCCTCTCAAGGGTTTTGCCTCGAGCTTTTTTTATGAGGCTTGCACCTCAGCTTGGTTGAGGCCCGCCTTGAGGCATGCCTCGCTTTACTGGCGTGAGGTGTACATCTCACCCGATTTATATATATTTTTAATTAAAACTTACATAAATCCTAAACTAAAGCCCGAACAAATAATGCCTTCATGCATCCCCAAGCCGCAACAACTTCCTCTCAATCGACTCGATCTCCAGCCCACTGCCTTTGTCATAGCCATTACCATCATAGCCACCACCGGGAATCACTTGAAAGCCGCATACCACCACCACCTCCTTTAAAAATTTTGGAGTATTATTCTCATCTTTATGTTAATGAAAAATATTTATGAAAGAGAAAAATGATTGAAATAAATGAAGATGAAATAGATTGAGAGACATTGAACTCCACAAGATAAGGCAGGGGAGAGATAAATTTGCTATGAAGACAACTAAAATAAAGATCCTCTTAGTGATGTAAGTGCAGATCATTTCTGAGTTGTTGCCAATTATGTCAGTTTTTTTAAAGAATTAAATGTGGATGAGTAGAGAACTGAGAAAGAAGGAATTTGGAGTTGAACTTGATGTTAAAGTATACTTTTATGTAATTCCTATGTTTCATGGTATTTTGCTCTTATAATATTTGAATTTCAATTCAGTTTCACGCAATTTATCACTTGCCACTTTACGTCTTGTGTAATTTTTATTTCACGAGTATGTCAATTTACTACTTAATAGTTCGTTAGAAAGTTAATATGTCATTATTTAACATATCATTTGAGTATTGTATAAAAAATTTCTTTTAACTTTTATTATGACTTTATGCATTTTTTTGAATTTTGAGACTTTAGCCACAAAATGGCTTGTGGCTTACGCCTAGCCTCACAAAAGAAAAAATGCCTCAATACCCAATTGCGCAATTTTAAATCTTGGTACTCCCTAAATCTAGTGAAAAATGAGAAAAAAAAAACTTGTTGGATCATTGCTATTACCTGCATATTTCATCACATCAAACAAAAAACTCAATTTCTCATCAACTAAACAATAAATGGAAAATATTTCTTTTACTCATTTTCTCTTCAACCAAAATAAGTGAGCGAAGACTAATTCCCTTTTACTCTGTCCATTTCCTCTTTATTTCCTCTCTTTCATTTCCTTCAAGCTAAATAAAGCATAAAATGAAAAAAAAAATGTTTGCATTGGTGAATGGGAAATTTGGGGACATAGCAATATACTTTTTTTGTTTTGTTTTTTTTCGGGGGACAATGCAATATAGTTGTTTTTTTTCCTTCTATAATAGAAAAGGAAGGTTTAATACCATTCTTGTTTGTGCTTTATGGACTTAGGGTTGAGGATACAGTTTGCAGTCCATGAATTTAGTTTTATGGTAGGTAAATAGAATAGGAAGATGCAACCTTTTTAACCAGTAGGTGTAATTTTTCTCAACTGATCTTCTTCATTTATACACAGTGCAGAAAGCAGAAAGATCTTTACCTATGGATGGCTAGGTCGCCGGATGGCCCTTCGGTGAAATTTTTGGTAAATGCTGGTAAGTCCTGATTCAAATGACATATTTTATGGAATCTTCTATCTAAATTGCTTGTCTAATGCAAACATGGGTGTTAATGATGTGAGCTGAGCCAATTATTTCGCTACTCAAGTTTACTAATGTGTTATTTTCTTATCAAGCTTCTGTTGATATCAAACTACAAGGTATAATTTCTTGTTTTCAAATTAAAATTAAGCTTTGTCGAGATTTGATTAATGTGGTTTGAAGAAGATTAATAATTATATGACCTTATCATCTTACATAAATTTATGCATATGCTTGTTCATATTGTAATCAAATGTTTTTTGTTTTTTTTTTCTCTTTTGATATTTTAAAATCTAACATTAATGAAAGAGCAAGAATTGAATCTGATTGATCTAACTTACAAATTGATTAGAATAAGCTTCCATTATTCCTTCTGGTTTTAATATGCATCATAGCTATGCGAACGATCAAAGCTAGCCTTGTGCAAGAACACGAATCAAGTGATTAAAAAGTTAATCTATTAAAAAAAACTGTCAAGGATGCCCCTAAAACTGAACTAACATAATACTGTAACTTGGTCGAGCTTTGTGTCATTCATTAATTGCATTGATTTGCTTTCACCCGTTGATATAAGCAAATAGCTTCAATGGTGTATTATCATTGTGTATTAATGCAAGATGACTCGGGGATAAGTTTCCTGCTGCAACTAATATAATGCACAATATGCTTTCATGCAAAGGAAAGTAAATGATCCATGAATCACAAATAATCGATTATGCTAATTAGCAATAGTATGTTTTATGCTGAATTTATTATGAAATGATTTTAAATATTTTAGAATTTCAAGAATAATTTGAACAAATAATCAGCGTGCCCAAAAATTAATTTTCATAATCACATTTTCCATTATCACTTCTAGAGTGAAGTTAAAAGAACTAAACTTGCCAATAACAAATTATGTATATCAAATTGAGAAGGAAGTAATTTACCAAAAGTAAAGAAAAATCAAATCTCATGTCGGTTCAAGGAGTTTACTACCCTTAAAATTAGATAGTTGCATTATACCGTACCTGAAGGAATTACATATCCAGCTTGCAATCACAAGATCGAAATTAGAAATAAAAATAAAATTTAAACCAAAAGTTACCAATTGCATGTCTTTTGTCACTATTTACAGATTCTTCATAATGTAGGCACAGGCCAAACCGTATGAAAATTTAGATTAGTTATTTTTTTTTTCTAAAACAAAAAAATTGCAAAAATCCAAAACCAGTCAAATTCCAACCATTAGAACAATATGAATTTACCACTCATGAGTGCGCAGCATTTGAAATTAAAAATTCATGCCACGAAAACGCACACCTCAGGAATATATACTCCAAAAACAGCCAAGCACATCACTAGAGACTTATTCACAAGCCATACCGTTGCCTCCTTGAATTTGGGTAATTTGGGCAGATAAAAAAAAAAAAAACTGCCATGCTTGCTTTAAAATTTTTTGTTATTAATAAATACTTCTAGCATCACCACATTTAATATACTAAGTGCCTAAGACAACTGCATCAGATAGTGTATTATTTTAAATATGTTCAGGTCATTTGTTAATCCACATGTTTAAGCTACAACTGTTATTGCTCGTCTAAGCTTATTGCTCTACTATTATCCAGTGCACACAATGGAGGAGCTCAAGCTTACTGGAAATCATCTTAAAGGATCTCGGCCAATTTTGACTTTCTCTTCCAATTTTGACAAAGAACCTCGTTGGATGCTTATAAAAGAAATGATAACACAGGTATGCATGTTGATTTCTTCTTTATTATAAGTGGTTTGTATTCATTTTCTCATAAACTGCTTAGATATTTAAGGATGAAAGAAAATTTTGTTCATGAGGTTTCTTAGGAAAAAAAAAAAGAATAAATAATTTTGTGATCAAACCAAAATGAAGATTCATAAAAGTGGGTCTAAATTGTTGGGTTAAGGATATTGATGATGATAATATTGCTTGCTTGTACAAAGATGTGAAAGGACCGTCAGATAATATGCCAAAGCTAACAACAATCGAATTTGGTGCACACTTTACCGCTAAAGAGCAATGCTACATTTAGGATTTGTTGAGCCACCTTTCTCACAACTTTATTTTTTTAGAAAATCACCACAATCCTGTTTGGCTTCAGATTTTTTGCTCCTTTTAAAAATTTCTATTGTGATAAACAGTCATTTATTAATAAATTTTCTATGATGTGGTTGCGCTAAGAAAATTGATGTCCAACTTTTTCAAAATAGTAAATTATTATAGTACCCACAACAACTTCCAAAAAAGCCTACTATTTCAACAACAGTTCTACAATGACTTGTACAGCCAGTTGCAACCATCACAAATAGATCTTAAATGGACCCTAGAAATTCTTTTGTTTGTGTGAATGCTATTCACATCTCTTATAGTCAGACCTGGTGTGAATTAGCCAATTAGGGTAATTGGCCATTTGAAGGCTACATGGTTTAAATGACCTCTACATCCTTTTTTATCAGCTCTGGTGCAATGACTTGGAATAGGTCTTTTACTAGTCATGGATTTTGTCATCTCAGGACAAATTTTCTCCACAGGAAATTTGATTTGCACTTTGGGGATATTATTTAGAAAAAAGGCTTGAGAAGGTGAAGACATGGGTGACTTAACAACATATAAATAGCAGTCAAGGTACAGCCTATGTGTCGTTCATTGGAAAGCAGACCTGTGCTTTACTCGGATAATTGAGTCTTAAAATCTTTCATGTAGTATTTTGCAAGTAATGATGCCATTGTTGTATTTGGGTTAATATTATTTTATTTTGATAAATGATAATTTATGAGGACAATTGTTATGGTATTTATCCTTATCGATACAGTTCGTAGAAAGAAATGGAGCAACTGAAATACTTTTCTTTTATTTCCAAATGTCATGCCAGAAGATTTTCCTAAGAATTTTTTCTTTTTTCTAGCGAGAAAAAAGAGAATTTTATCTTGTTTTTCAATTTATATGTTTCATTTTTATTTTATATGTGAAAGAGTCAATTGTATTAGGTGAAATTGAGTTCTGAGCTTGACGTCTTGACCATGTAAGAAACATAATGCACCAGGACTCTAATTTGCACCAGCTGCAAGACAATCATTTGGCTGTTCCTATTGATCAATCACTCTGGCTCTTTATCATTAAATATAACTCCTTCATGAATCTTAATTTATAGGGATTTACAACTTTACTGTTACAGTGGCGTTGATTTTAGATTGTCAAAACCTCATCTATTTATAAGTTTCTACTATGATTTGGTCAGCCCAGTGACGAATAACTGCTCTAAAGTATACCTTCCTGATATTATGCAATTAAACTATACTTTCTCGGTATGATTTCTGAATTTGGGGTTCAAAATCTCATTAGAAGGATCCCTAAAATTTAATCATGTGAAACAAATGTACCTTTATTTGTCAAGTGTTAACAGACGAGCTTTTAATATAAAATTTTGCTATACTTAAATTTTGCTATACTTAAATTAAGTTCAATGATTTCTTAAAGAGCAGCTTATTTTTATTTTATTTTACTATTGAATTTTGATAGACGAGAAACCTTAGTACACAGAACCACAATTAATTCTTTTGATCAATTTCCATGTATTTACACCAAGCTTTGCTATTGCAGATTTTTGGAACGCCAAAAGATCATCGAAAAGCCAAACCATTTCATGACCATATATTTGCATTTTCAATCGTTGACAATCATATATGGTTTCGGAATTTCCAGGTAATGTTGACCTACAGGTACATTTTTTGTATGTATTGCTTGTACAAATTGATCTCAATTTAAGTTGTGCTTTTGGCGTAATGTGGAACTTCTTCTCACATCATATAAATCCATGAAATTATCTATTGAGTGAAGTCTAGTTATTATCCGTAAGGCATAACAGAATAAGCATGCAGTACCTTCCTTTCTTTTCCAAGTGTTCGTTAGATAATTGTATGGAAAGCTAATTAAGTTCCTGAGATCAAGCTTTTATCGATTTTTACTGAGGTGGTTACATTTTTCAAATCATTTTTTCAAGCTGTGCGACTGTTTTTTTCATGTCCCAAAATTATACATAAAGAGGGATATTAATAGTAGATGGAACAATCGTTAGGTTGCCATAATGTGATATGGAAGTCATTAGTTCGAATCATGAGATCAATGTGATAGGAAATACTTGAGTTCGCAAGTAAACCTAATGGGAAATACTTTAGTTCGCAAACAACCCTAACAATAATAGGTAAAACAACGAGAAAAATAGAAGAACTTTGGAGGAAACAATAAAAAACAGTAGATAATCTTATAGAAATCAAAGCAAAACAAGAACAAAACAAAGATACATATGATCCTCAATTCAAGAGGAGAATCGTTCTCTCCCACTCTCTAGACTAGAAGTCTAGTGCCCAAAACACCAAAGAGAACTCCAAAAGAAACAATAGTCATGCATGAAAAGCTAACCCTAATTCCTTTATCCTACTTAAAGCATACAATTAATTAATTAAACCAAATGACTCCCTTGCCACCCCCTCCTTTGTCTCCAAATAGTTTGAATTTGAATTCCTTGTGGGGCCCACTCCTCCCTCTCTCTCTCTTTGGTCGTGCTGCCGCCCCTCCTATAGTAAAAAACTGCCCCTTCAAGGAGCAATTATTACGTCCGGTCACCAAATGCGTTCATAGATCAATAACCACGCGCCACGTCACCTAAAACTCGGTATTGAGCACTCGGTATACATTCGGATACGTTCGGATTTCATCGGACGTAATAATTGCTCCCCTTCAAGGGGACAGGTTGGGGTTGGACCGCTCCACTAGGGACCGTTCTAACACAATGTTTCGTTACTGCAAGTCTAAAATTGCATAATACATCATTCCCTTTTGGAAACCCTTCATTTGCAAGAGTGCACGCCTTTCTTTTTTTGAAGATATCAATAATGGCATTTGCCCGATCATGATATTGGTTGGAGGTACTTTGTCCTGTGTTCTGAACAAAGATGGAAAATATTTTTTATCTTTCACTCTGCCTGAAGCAGTTTTTCTATTGCTTCTGTTCTCTTTAACTGGAAATGCAAGTGGAATGTTATTATTGTAAAGCATAAATATTTGTGGTTGCAAGTCTTCGTTTACATTTACAAAATGAGTCGATTTGACATTTTTCCAACATTCTAGGTATCTGTTCCTCATAACGAGACTGATAAAATGGATCGCGGAGGCTTGGATAAAATGACTCTCATTGAGGTATATACCCTTTCCTTTTAAGTTTCTGTTCATTTCTTGTCCATGGCTGGGTTTTAACATAAATGCCATTTCATAAAGGTTGGTCCAAGATTTTGTCTGAATCCTATCAAGATTTTTGGAGGAAGCTTTGGTGGACCAACTTTATATTCAAACCCGCTTTACATATCGCCAAATCAGGTATGTTTCAATTCTACCTTATTTTTTGGGGACATTTAGGCCATTTAAGGCAAATTCACACACAACACATACATAAAGACTCGAACCCAAGACATCTTCACAACCAACAGACCAAACTGAGCTGTGTTCAATTATAGCATATATATCTCGATTCAAGTTGTGCTTTTGGCGTAAGGTGGAACTTCTTCTCACATCATATAAATCCATGAAATTATCTATTGAGTGAAGTCTAGTAATTATCAGTAATGCATAGCACAATAAGATTGCAGCGCCTTTCTATCTTTTCCAAGTGTTCGTTAGATAATTGTATGGAAAGCTAATTAAGTTCCTGAGATCAAGCATTTATCGATTTTTACTGAGGTGGTTTTCTTTAACTGGAAATGCAAATGGAATGTTTTTGTAAAGCATAAATATTTGTGGTTGCAAGTCTTCGTTTACATTTACAAAATGAGTCGATTTGACATTTTTCCAACATTCTAGGTATCTGTTCCTCATAACGAGACTGATAAAATGGATCGCGGAGGCTTGGATAAAATGACTCTCATTGAGGTATATACCCTTTCCTTTTAAGTTTCTGTTCATTTCTTGTCCATGGCTGGGTTTTAACATAAATGCCATTTCATAAAGGTTGGTCCAAGATTTTGTTTGAATCCTATCAAAATTTTTGGAGGAAGCTTTGGTGGACCAACTTTATATTCAAACCCACTTTACATATCGCCAAATCAGGTATATTTCAATTCTAGCTTATTTTTTGGGGACATTTAGGCCATTTAAGGCAAATTCACACACAACACATACACAAAGACTCGAACTCAAGACATCTTAGTTGGAAGCCTAAGTTCTCAACCAACAGACCAAATTGAGTTGTGTTCAATTCTAGCTTATATATATATATCTTCTTGTGCACTTTGTAGGTCCTAGAGTCAAATCATGAAATCAACTTTTCTATATGCAAGGTTAAGGCTATATCCCCCTCCATAGACCTTGCATTAGTCGGAGCTTTATATTGTAGGATAGACTATCATCCATTCTATTTTTCATGCAAGTTCTTTTATATGTTGCTATCTTTAAATGCAAGATCAAGATTATTTATTTTGATATATAGCCTAATAACTTGGTGATCTTGTTTAATCATTTTTTATTAAGATTTGATCATTGATTATAATTGATGAAAATTTAGATTATTTTTAATGCTCCTCAATAAATATATTATTATTATTATTATTATTTTAAATCAAAACTCATTGAAATTGTTCTAGATATATATATTTTTAAGTGCTAAGGTGATTTTATTTTATTTGAGTTTGGCTACATCATGAGATTAATAAATCATGTATCTCGCTATCTAGATCATCCTTTTTAGGTATTATTTTTTGTATTATTGATGCTTGATCAAATCATTTAAAAATTTTATGATATTTGGCATCAAACTATTTTTTATGATGAAGTTTAGGATCAATGCCTGAATGGTCTTGATTTGCCAATTAGGTATTGCTTGCTTGAAAAATAATTTAAAAAAATTCTGATTAAAAATGTCTTCACCCAGAAAAAAGATAGTATATCCATTCATACATAAATTTATTTAGTGATTCAATCATGTATGTACTGCTAATTAAGGTTTCGCTTGAGATGATTATTACTGTGTCTTAAAGCAGCTTTATAGCACAAAAATTTAAATTTTTGTAATCGAGAGCTACTTTAAGAAACAGTAAGAAATGCTTAAAGAAACAGTAAGAAAGCCGTCTCAAATGAAGCCTAAGTCTTCATATGTCTATAATGATTTGAATTCAATTTGGCTCATTGAGCTAAAGATCATAACTTATGTATTCTTCACTGTAATTGAGATTGAATCAAACGAATTTTTAGTATATATTGACATGTGAACGATAATTGAAGGGGAAAAAAGGAGCTCAAAAGTATAGCACTGGCAATCCTTGGAACCGCAAATTTAAGTAGAAGAGACTTTCAAATAAAATTTCTTCTCTTTATTCCACCATATTTTGGTGGTTCGCTGCTTAATTAGTTGTATTTTGACTCTCATACTTTTACTTGGACCAGATTCGGGCAATGGAGAAAAGGAAGAAAGCGGGGAAATATGTGAAGAAAGTCAAGGCTAAGACCAGGAGGAAGATGCATGAACTTGAGAATCCATTGGAGCCCGATGAGTTTGCAGATCTCTGGAAGGAATGACCACTTGGTAATATATGCTGGCAATGAAATTGTTTTCACCCCCAAACTTTTCATCATACAGCTTAAATTATGTCAGTCTTCCTGTGGGAAATAATGCTTTTCAGTTGATGAACTCGAGCAATTGCAGAGTATCAATTTTGTTCTCTCCCTAAGAATTTGTGCATTATTAGCATTTCAATGAATTGAAGAGTTTGATTAATGTGATTTCAGAAAGAATGGCAATGATAGTTTGAGTCAACCCTCCGGGCTTAGCTGGGTTGGTGGGCAAGTATAGTTGGGAACCCCTAACTCATGTTCGAATTCTCTCTCATGCGGTGCGATCTCTTAGTTGGGGAGAAAATAATTGTGGGACCTGCACCTATGGGGCTGGTTGCTGGTAGGCTCGCTGAGAGATTAGTTACGGGCCAAACACCTTTTAAGAGGGTGGCAGCAGGTAGGTACTCCCGTTCTAAAAAAAAAAAGTGAGTCATTTGTGGATAAAGAATGAGGCTTCTTCTGATACAAAGTTGGTAACTTTTTATTCATATTGTTTATGGCAGCATCATAATCACATAATGCCAATAATGAGCTCTCTCTAAAGTTAATGAATTATAAGCTTGAAGAGTATCAAATGGCATTTTCGTTAAATATTTTGACTTGAAATATTTACAATTATCCTAATTACTCTAAAACTGTTAGCTGTGTAATCTGGATTAAACCGACCTTTCTAGAAGTTTCTTAGCTAGGTTGTTCTAATATTATGTTATGTTTTAAACAGACGCTTAGCTATCAAATTACCAAACAATATGTAATGTTTATGTTGTTAGATTTTGGAGTTCGAATATTAATAGGATAATAATAGACTTTAATTTTTAAATATGTTTTTAAAAATATTTCTTATATTTTTTAATTATATATTTTTTATTCTTAAAATATTTAAAATATAAAACTCATGTGTCTTATACCCCTAATGCTTTTTCTTTCAAAAATGGTGGAAAATAGAAAACAAATGGCATATAAGTATTCATAGAAGTAAGGGAGTTGGTAATTTTATCGAGTGAGCATGAAAAGTTTTAAGGGATTCTATCCCACACATCTATAGTGAAATGCATAGTTGTGATGAGATAATTGCACATACTCAATTGCCATGGTACTTGGAGGGAATCTATGTTTTTTGTTTGGGATGATTGTTGTGTTTAATAAAGTAATTGTGAAGTTGCTATGGGAGAAAATAACATAGCTACTCTTGTTACAAAAAGCGGCTCTTTACTATAGAAAAATCTTAAAAATAATAAGAAAGTATCAAAAAAGCAGTAGCTCAAACAAATTATAATTGTTGTATGAAAAATAAAACAACGAAAAAATTATCCCAAACAGACCTTAAGTCTATAACTCAAAAGGCCCTGCAATGCAAGATCAACTCCATCCAACTCCATGTATTGTAAAGCTAATCCTTCCTAATTGAACAAGTCACCATATAAAGTTAGAATCCACCTAGCTTATGTAGTAAACAAAGCCAAAGCCAAGTTGCCACTAGAGAAGCCATCTTATGCATAACACATTAGTCTTATATTCTAACAAACATATGGTACATCAAGTTTGGTAATCAAGTGAATTATCATATTTATCTATAACAAATAACATTTAGCTTGCCATCTTTGACTCAATTTGGTTTTAAGGCATTGAAAAAGAGGAAATAAAAAAAAAGAATTAAAATACAAAATGATAATGATAAGTAGAGAATCCTATAGGAAGTATTCAAATGTTCTAATTTCCTTTGTAAAATATATTTCTTATTAATTGCATCTAAATCAAAACAAAGATGAAATTATGAGGTAAAAAATGTGTTTTCCACTTAATTACTCCAAAAGCTCAATTTGAAATAACTTTTTTATTATTTTATTTTTTAGACTACAACCTATTTCTATTTAACAACTGCTTTTTCAGAGTTCTTAAAAAATATTTTTATTATGAAATTACTCTTTAAATTATTTTCTCTATATCAACTTTGCAAAATAACATTTTAAATGTTTATTCATCTGCCCCAGGCATTGCCTTGAAAACATTTTAAAACACCCTTGAAAAATAAATCATTTATTTTTATGAGAATGATTATGATTTTATCTTTTTACAGTGCAATATAGCATTATATTATCAGCTAGAACCTGTTCAAGCCCACAACACTTGAACTTCCTCGCTTCTGTGATTTTCTAAGTATAATATTTTTTTTGAATAAGTTAGTTTAAAAGCTGATAACAGAGTGAGTTCAAAACAACATAAATTTTTATTTGGGACAACTTTCTTACAACTTCTTTTAAAACAGCTTTCTAGTATAAATATTAATATTTGTGTACTTGAATACTTTTAAAAACAATAAGAAAGTCGTCCCAAACGAAATCATAATTGCTTGTGATAACCACATCAAGTTTAATCGCTGTTTGAGATACGAAAGTTTCATTTGGGATGAAAGCCATCCCAAACACAGCTTAAATTTATTATTTACAAATAATTTTTACAACTTTCATCTGAGTTACATTCTTCATCAACATCAATGGATCTCTTGAAGGCTACTTCAAAAATTGAACAGGAGAAGCAAAACTTATACAGAAGGCACGGGCTTGAAGAACTAAAGTATGCTATGGATGTTTCAAGCTTTCTTCTACTAACTCGATGCATCGATATAATACCAACTGAACAGGAGCTAATGCACATGTAATGCTTTCTGCAAGTTCATGATCATCTTGGTCATTTTCTGCTAGGATCCTCGAGATGAGTGTTGTAAGAGGCATAAGCCATTCTGAATAGGCCTTCCGCAACGAATCCTCACTCAACACATTGGTGTAATTTGTTTTTCCTGCATTTCATGGACAGAAAAGTATAAGAGCTTCAATGAGATCACCTCTGTTGGCATTGAATGTAGATTGCAGGAGGAATTTCCAAGCAATTCGTGTTTTAGGAATGAAACTAGTGGTAAGGAAGAGAATGAGCAAGGGGAAATTAGAAAATGAGAATGATTTGAATATTATCCTTGCAAAAGAAAGAAAATGGTGAAAGACAAGACAAATATGATATGACTATCAAACCAGCTTCAAAAAATAATAGCTCGAGGAATGCCATGAGAAATTCCGCTTGTAATGTTTTTGACAAGTTGGAAAGCACAATGACAGAGGATTGTCAAGAGGATGACTCAGGTGGCCCAACCAGCAACAACAACAACAAGCCTTTGTTCCATTATGTGGGGTCGGCTACATGAATCTTTTTTCTCCATTGTGTCCTGTTAAAAATTAAATTCTTGTTTAAATATAATAAAGAAAGATCATTTCTAATATTTTCTAACCAAGTCTTTTTAGATCAAATCTAATACCTCTATTTTCCTAACCGGGTCATTAGAAGACCGCCGTTTTATGTGACCAAACCATTGCTTATAAATGAGTTTATTAGAACTTAGGTGATTGACTAGATTCTAGCATGCCATATTTTATTAGGTCCTTGTGATTAGCCTAGGTCTTAGCATATCATATTCTTCCTAGGTCCTATGACATCCTACCCTCTAAAGTTCTAGGTGACTAGCTTAGAGTCTATGTCATGAACTTAGATTTATTGGCCTGGGGTATCCCTCTTAAAATTTAGATGATTGGTCTAGAGCTCAATCTTAGACTCTCATAGACAATAGATGATAGATCTAAAGTCTACTATGCCCTACTTAGATACTCTACATTGTCGCATGGAATCCACTTGGTCCAATGTGTTTTGATACACATACGTGGTCTTTAGATAAATCTTAGGTGGTTTTTGGTCCCTAGAACTACCTTAAAGAGCATTAAGTGGTTGAGTGGACTCTTTTTTCTAAACCTGTTTAGCATATCTTAGTTGCTTTATGGTATCCTCTAGAAGCCTTGGAGTTGTTGGTTGTGCTAAGTGTCCTACGCACATAATAGACATGATAAAGTGAAATAAGGAAAACAAAGAAATTATTGTGCCATTTGATCCTTAAAAATGGGTATTTGCTTGACATAAATTTGATGCTCCAAATTTGTCAGAGTGAGCCTTTGCTCTTGCTTTTCAAGGCTTAGAGTTCATGGTAAGTTCAAGGAAAAAGAAGCATCCATTTCTAAGATATCATTATTGTGTCTACCTTACATGAATGCGTTAAATAGTATGTTGCTAAAGATACCCTCCAAATATGTATGAACAGTAAAATGTAGCTGACCAATTAGTCCAAATGTATTAGCTTCTAACTAAAGGAAGTAAATGAGGTGAAAATACATGGACAGGTAATTATATAGTATGTTCTGCATTATATTTTGCAATGTTAAAGGTGAAAACAAAAGAATACTTTTATTCATTCCATAATTACAATGTATTAACATGGTAAATTGCCTACTAAATCCATCCCTAATTAAAAAAAACCAACATCAGATGTTAGTTTTTGGACAAGTTCAAATTAACATGATAAGCAACCTGACCAGGTCAATGTAATGACAGTTCAATCTTCAGATCAGGACTCAACTTCAACAACCAAAAATCATATCCATACCATAAGTGCTAGCCTAGTTTAGCATTTTAAGATGTTAGAATTTCAGCACCATTCATACTTCTACAACCAAAGAGAAAAATGCCCAGCAGAAAATAAGGAAAAAACAAAACAGTTCAAGGTGCAGAAAGCTTTCTCGTGATATACCTGTTAATTCAATTATCAATATAAAACGGTAGAGGTTGAGAGCAGATAAGACCTGCAGGAATTGAGATGAATTAAACACCAAAATCATAAATATAGGTATAAACATGCACATTTCATAAATTACATGATTGATTGCAACCTTATTGAAACAAATTTTAAGATGCTAAACACATTCAATTAATTGACCTGTTACCAAGAAAGGGAGAATGAAGTGTCCTATGAGGGCTGTCCTCATTAACTCCTGTACGCAGGTCTTATCCACCACTCAAATGATCATTCGCAAAAGATTAACCTACCTTTCAAACTCGTGTAAGAGGAGCGATGGAGTGTGTGTGTGTGTGTGAGATAGAGAGAGAGAGAGAGAGAGAGAGAGAGGAAATCAAGACAAGAAATTTAATAATAATCAACACACACATTGGTCAACCTCTCAAGGAAGGAACCTATCATTCAGAAGTAAATAATCAAGTAGAAATATGGGATGGATGCAAGTACCGGCTCACTATGCTCTGGCAGGGAAGGAGGTCCTCCTTTAGGAGGCCTTAGTATCATTTCCACAATGCCAAGTGCATTAGAACCCCATAATTTAGAAAATTCCTTTCTATTTTGATCTTTAGTCAAATTGTTTTGATGATTATCTACCAAAACTCCCTCCTTCACAATATCAATAAGAATGGCTACCTGTGCACAGTAATTAAATAAATTAGAAACAAGCTCATACAATTACAAAACAAATTCTTACACACAAAAGGTTTACCATGGAAGGAGAATCACTATTTGTAATAAGAGCCTTCAGTGTGTCAAATCTTTGAGAGCATGGGATATCTGAGACTACCTGACCATTGTTTTAATGCAGTCAGAATGTAAAGAATGGTGTAATACTTGTTTAGTCAGCTTGTAGAGCAATTTACATCCATAAAAAGAAATTCACGAAAAGAAGAAAATTTCCCTCATTTTCATAATAAAAATATTATAAGAGGTGAGAATGATATTAAGAAAATATCTTGATTACTAATAAGAGAAACAAAGACAAATTATTACAAAAAACCTTTCCCCAGAAATTCTTCATAATGTTATTAAAGGTACATAAAATTTTCAATGTTGTGTATATTTTTGAAATCCTACCTTTCTGAGTGCACTGAAAGCTTTCCTTCTTAACGGGAGATCTGGAGCACCCATCATGATTCTTTCAATAGCCTGAAGTGTTTCATCAACTAAGTTAAAGCAAACAAACATAAAAACTATCGCTTCATCAATGATATAAGAAAGGAAAGGTTACCATGAGAGTTGTAAATAGGTTAGGCAGAATGGCTGAGAAATCATCATCACTACCAATATGTTCTTCAGGAATAATTCCATCTATCATACTTAGTAAAACATCCATACAATGGGATTTTATTATCCAGGGATAGTCGATAGATATAAGTATATGTTTGAACATCCCTATAGCTTGCCACCGCCTAAAACAGTCTTGTCGAATTTTACTAATAACAATATCCAACTGCTCCACAGCAGCTTCTTCAACCTCAGCAGAAATATGGCCCCATATCACTAACAATGCATGTAAACAATGGGGAAAAAAAAGAGAGAAAAATTAAACAAGAAATATAGGGAATAAAATAATTAGATAGAAATTATTTGCTTTAGGATAATCCAAATGCAATAAGAAACTGACCAGCTAGACTCGCTCCATCAGCGGCGGATGAAAAGCAAACCATGAAGTCATCTTCATCAATATCTACATCACTTTCTGGTGATTGTATCAGGAGGTAAAATGCAAAATTAGAGTGAAAAACTAGGTAGATAAGACTCAGCATCTAGAGATTGAGATTGAAATTACTAGAGAAATTAAGTCACCTTTACAGATATCATTAATTTTATCTAAATCCCCAGAAAGAAGGCCAAAGTAAGATAGTCCACAAAATGGGAGGAACTGAGAAAATTTTGCTACAATCAAGGAGGAACTTTCAACAATATGCCTTTGTCTTGATCTCGAAATAAGAGCCTTAAAATAAGTAAAACAAATAAAAAATAAGAAAATTGCATATCAAGTAAAGACGAAAGGAAAAAAACTGTAATTAGTACTAATAAAAAACTTATGATTACTCAACAATGTTTTGCAGAACATAAAGGCCAAGTATAGCACAAAGTACTTCTTTTCTTTGTCCTTCCTGATACAATTGATAGGATAGGACGATCAATATATATATCAAAGCAGCTGCAAAAGTAATAGATGGTCCTGAGGAAAATACAAACCAACTTTTGGCAAATTTCTTGGATTGATGAACCAATGCTAATGGCAGCAGAGGATAAATCATTTAGAGAATCTGTATCTTCTTCATCACTCTCCGAAAAAGCAACATTTAGAACCTTAAGAATAACAGGCAAAACCACTTTTACTTGTTCTACATGCCGTCTCTGACAACGAAGAAGAACTGTGATGACCAAAAAAGAATAATTAATACCAACCATCCAATGAATAATACCATAAATAAAGGAGTCATAGATCAGCCTAGGAGTTCAACATGCACATGAAGGGGCTATATTCTCTTGCCCGTCGAATATGTGATCCCTTCTAGTTAAATTAACAAAAATATGCAAGAAAAAAAATAATAAGAATTTTTTTCTTCTGTAAATAGCCCTCCCGCATGCATCCAATATAAGCAGAATTCCAATCTTTTTGTACTATGAAGATAGATTAACGTGTCACCAGCAGTAATCCGGTTTAATACTTTGGGAAGTATAGAGATGGTACTTCACATCTAGTGACTTTTCAAGATTAAATAAGGAAATATGCCCATTCTGCACGAATAGAATTACTGAGAAGGATCCTAATATTATTCCACCATAAAAATTCATTTCAAATACTCCTTTTGTTCAATGGTAACGGCAGACTCAATGTCTATTACTATTTCAACATTCAAAACTTTTTTCTTCAGGTCAGGCTAAAAGGTCATTCTGATAACGATAAAAAAATGCTGTAGCTACTAGACATAATTTGGTAACTTGATGTACAAATCAAAATGCAATTTTTGCTAAGCATTTTTGTATTCTAGCAGAGTTTAAAATACAAAAACAAAAATCCTAAATGAGAAGAAATCATAGAGAATAGCGCTGCAAGACTACATCGAGAAATCATGTTCATTTCACAAAAAAAAAATTGATCTTGTTTCTAGATTAGCAAGCATAAACAATATCTTTTAGGAAAAGCAATCTTGTTTCTGCTTATGCTGTACCTTATAGCTTCACTGTACCTTTTGAGAGCCCAAACACAAAATGACTGTAGCATCCAATTGCTTCAGAAGCATCAGCATGAGATGTTAATGCCTGCAATAAAACCAATTAAAATAAGAATAAGACATATAGAAGTCATTACATTAAGCAATTAAAAAGGATCGCCATCAGAAAATAACTCCCTGATGCCCAAAAAAAGCCTGGGGATAAGACAAGGTGAACGAAGCAATTAGTGCATCACCCCTATCTCTCCCTCTCTATCTTCCCTCCCCTTCTATATACACACTCCACCCCGAGCACCGCACCCCCCCCCCCCCCCCCCCCCCCCCCCCCCTAGCACATCAGCTCTCTCTCTCTCTCTCTCTCTTTCTACATACGCACTCCCTCACCCACCCTTTATTCCTCTTAAAACAACTAAAGGAAAAGCAAGAGAGCTAAAAGAGAGAATAATGGAGAAAATGAAATCATCATATACATTAAGAAGGTGCCAGTCTGAACACGAGTATTGAATGAGAAACTATTTATGATACAATGCTAAATATTCTTGAGTTAGTATCCAGTTCTATTGACTATGATTTATATCTGAGGATGGACCTGATGAACTTCCACATTTGAGGAGTCTAGAGCTTACAATTTATTTAGTCTTGGGCCATCCTTACCTATTTGTTTCGTCATAAAATAAATCCTTAAGCATGAGAATCTTGAGAGGCAAGTAGATGAACTACTCAGGAATCATAACAGTAGAGAAAATCGAGAATATGTGTAGTTCATTGTTTCTCATTGTCAAGAAAGATAGGAGTTGGCAAAGATGTGTTGATGTCAAAGCCATGACTAAATTATTATCAAGGATAGATTTCCTTGTACCAATTCTTAGTAAAATGTTGAACACGATGGTTGGCTGCATGATCTTTTCACAGATTCAGCTTCAAAAGACATAAATATTAAATATAAATGAAAGTGGATGAACTATTTGAGCGGTTGGTTATGTTTTTAAGATTTGAATGTATCACATAAGTTTATGAAATTGATAATTTGTGCCTAATCCTTTGGCCTCATTCTTATACATAGCATGACTAGTGAAGAAAAATTAATCATCTGAGGAGGTTCATTGAGTATTGTGACACAAAAACTATTATTAAATTTGAAAATTATTTGTTCATAACTTCTTCAATGGGCTTCGTGATATTGACATTTCAAGTGAAAGTATTTCAGCTGAGTCCAAAAAATTAAAATTCTTAAGGAATGCCCTTAACATATTTCTATTCATGACATTAGGAGTTCCATGCATTAGCTAATTTTTATAAGAGGTTGATTAAAAGCTTTAGCACCATCACGGTTCTGATTACACAAGGGCATCAATAGGATATTGTTGCATTCAATAAATTATAATTTTGAGCTTTTAACACAAGACTGGAGCCCCCTATATAGACTAGAGTTCATAATGCATTTCTAAAATGCATTAAACTTTTAAGAAAATAAATGCAATAATGTGTACTTATCACACACATATAGGGGGACATTGTGAAATTTTAGTAATAACATATCTAGTGTAATTTTAGTAGTAACAAATCTAGTGTAATTTTAGTAGTAACAGATCTAGTGGTCGAATTGTGGAATTGGGTGACCAAGTCATAAAAAAAGTGCACGTTTTAGATATATCGGGTCTACTATCCAAAGTGATGGCTAATAGATGGGATATTATTAGTTGAATTCAAGTTGGATGATTGAAGCGGAGGAATGCATCAGACCTATTGTGTGATGGAAAACCACCTCTCAAACTTAAAGGAAAATTTTATAAGATGGATGGTGGCGAGACATGCAATGCTTTATAGCGCAAAATGTTGGCTATTAAAAGAGAAACATAAAATTAAATTAAGTATTGCATAGATGAGGACGCTCATGTGGATGAGTGGCTTTATACTTAGAGATAGAATGTGAAATGAGTACATACGTGAAAAAGTTGAAGTAGCTCTAGTAGCAAATAAGATTAGATAGAGTCACCTTAGATGGTTGGGTTACATAAAACAACGACCTTCTGATGGCTCAATTAGGAGAGTAGATATATTAGATTCATCATATGTTCAGAAAGGTAAAGGTAGACCTAAAAAGACTTTGTTAGAAAGTATTAATAATGACCTCTTTTATTAGATTTAAATGAGAATTTGACTTTAAATATGACACAATGGACATAAAGGATTCATGTAGTCGACCTCAAGTTGTGGAATAAAGACTTGTTGTTGTACAAAGTAATAATGTTTCTCTTGTATTAAATTTTTTGTCTCCTCTCCTGATATTCAACAGTGCTTTTTCTCTTACTAGCTGAAAAGTGAGAACAACAACATCTTAGCATCTCTTAGAGAGATAATAATCTAAGAGCTATAATTACAAAGTAAATTGTTTCAATGTTGTTCAAAAAATGCACTACATTATTCATCTACCATTCATTCTAAAGAGAAACAATGCAACCTTACTGATGGCTTTGCCTTGTTATCATCCACTGCTTGTATATAATTCAAATTTAACTACAAACCTCATATGTAACACAACCACAGTATCATGCCAATTTCATCTATCGTTTAGCAAGTGTCTCAATCATGATAGGAATTATAAATGGTGACAACAGAACTATACAAGCACCAAAAACTTTTATACGCTAATTAGACACAGGCAAAAGAGGACTATTACTATGAGTTATGAACCCCTTAACCATGCTCTTTGACTTATATTTCTTGTATGCCCCAATCCATACATCAAGGATATTGAAAATATGCTATTCAAAAGTGCATTACACAAAAGTGTTACTCACCTTCCTCAACATACCTCGCCATTAACCCCAGGATCTTGTAAATATCTTAAAACAATATAAAAAACAAAACTAATAGTTAAGAAACTATGAATACAACATATAGTTAAGTTAGATGCAATCCGAACAAAAAAATAGTGAATAACAAAAGACCAGAGAAATTGAGAAATAAGTAAGTAATTTTGAAGTAAAATCGCCTAAAACAATAAAAGACCACATCCAATCACAACAGCATCTGATTTTGTATGTGTATTGAGAAGAAGATAACAGCGGAGGAGCATTAGCGCATGCTTGCTCTCCCTCATTAAACTGAATTACTCATATATGAAAAAAAAATCATATATATATATATATATATAG